GGTTCTTCACTGCTGAGTATTTCACAGCAAAATGTCTTTTTATCAAGGAGATGCTCTAGTTCAAATGGGAGTGAATTAGGTCAGGGGAGTTCTCTGACCTGAGGTAGGTAGAAGATCATGCAGATAATCCACATACTCCCTCTGGCCGTGTGACTAATTCCCTTTGGTACAGCTATTCCTGATGTAAGTGAAATCCGCTCGGACCTGTGCTTGCCCTCAGGAACTTACAAACTAATTACATTAGTTGTGTCAACCCATTAGATACTCAGAGGCTGCATGCAGACTCGTTGGTTAGACTGAATTATGTCTTTGAAGGTTATCAAAACATTCAGATCTAGCATGTTACATGGTCTGCCACCATTACTTCTTCTCTGTACAGAGATTTCTGTGGTTACTCCTTGCTAACAAACCACAGACTTTTCATACACATATGCTGGTTTCAGCTATTTTGTAGGTTGAAACTATGGTGGCTGATGTCATCCTGATCTTTTAAATCTATCTTACTTTTGATGAAACCCTTTATTTTTAGATATTATTTTTTTTTTAATAAACCTTTGTTTCAGATCTCATGCATAGATTTGGTTTTAAAAAACCTGGCGGCTCAGATTCCTGCAGAAGATGTATAGTAGCTTCCACATCAAGAGCTTGCAGGCCCCAGGTACCTCCACACCTGTAGAGTCTGCAGACGAGTCCAGAAAGCCAGTCATGTCCTGGGCTGCATCAAAAGAGATGTGGCCAGCAGGTCAAGGGAAGGGATTCTTCCCCTCTACTCTTGTGAGATCCCACTTGGAATACTGTGTCCAGTTCTGGAGTCCCCAACACAAGAAGGACATGGGGCTCTTGGAGCAAGTTCAGAGGAGGGCCGTGAAAATGATGAGAGGGCTGGAGCACCTCTGCTATGAAGACAGACTGAGAGAGTTGGGGTTGTTCAGCCTGGAGAAGAGCAGGCTCCAGAGAGACCTTACTGCAGCCTTCTAGTATCTGAAGGGGCTACAGGAAAGGTGGGGAGGGACTTATAAGGGCAGATAGTGACAGGACAAGGGGAAATGGCTTTAAACTGGAAGAGTGTATGTTTAGGTTTGATGTTAGGAAGAAATTCTTTAGTGTGAGAGTGGTGAGACACTGGAACCGCCCAGGGAAGTTGTGAAAGTGTTCAAGGTCAGGTTGGACAGGGCTCTGAGCAACCTGGTCTAGTGAGAGGTGCCCCTGCCCATGCAGGGCATTGGAATATGATGATCTTTAAGGCCCCTTCCAACCCAAACCACTATATGATTCCCTGCTGTGAAAATCTCATGTCTCTGTACCTCCTTTGGAGAGTGAAGCACAGGGCCTCATTTCTTCCCTTCTCCCTCTAAGAACAAACAAACAATGAGGAACTGGTCTTGGGAGACTTTTGAGATGCCACCACCATCTTCCAACTGCAATTATGTTCCTCTGGGAGGCTGAGTGTTCATCATCAGGTGCCATCTTCATATCTTCATCCTGAGCCATTCTTTCTGGGGTGACTGCAGCAGTATCAAGAGCTGCCCCACATCCACATTCTTAATTCACATTAACCCACCAGTTTGCATTCTTGCTGTGTGGGCTGTGCATTTAATGTGTGAATAATAGTTTTTATGACTGTTATTCAGCACCTACATACTTTTGCTGGAAGCAGGGTGGGGAGGTTTTTAGTTAATGAAACTGTTATTATTTGCTGACAAGATCACTGAGTATCTTAAGAAGAGGGAATTTGATCTTCCAAGTAACTAAGCAGGAGTTTGCACTGCAGAACCTGTGTGAAGTGTGTGTATTCCAGGAAAAAAAAAAAAAAAAAGCATCATTTACAATCCCACTGCCTAGGAACTTCAACATCTGTGAGGAAACAACATCAGTGTCCACATTCTTTACGATGACTTCATTATTTTAGCTCCGGGCCAGTGGAGCAACACACGAACACACCCTTCTGTTAGACCCACTTCACGTGAACTCAGCCTCATGGCAACCCCTCTCTTGTGCTTGATATTCCTAAAAATTCATCTAGCCTGGGAAAATTAATTCATTGTGAAGCAGTTATACAAAAAAACGTTCCAGCTGACTGGATTTTTCACATGCAGACAGTGGTGAGGCTAAAGTCCTCTTGAGAGCACGAGAGTGCTCCAGGTGTCTTGGCTCTGAGAAGCATTTAAGGAGGGTCCTGGAAGGAGAGCTGGACTCCAAGTCCTGCTCCTGCAAAGTTGCAGTCACATAATATACACATGTGAGTCCCACCAGGACTGCAGCTCCACTGCCCCCTCCTACCCAGGTCCCAGCAGGAGTTAGAGACATGCAGCCTGATGCTCTATGGCTGTACATCCCTGCAGAAAGCTGTAGGGGCTGACCATGCTGCCCACACCATGACCAATGATGCCATCTCAGATCCAGGCCTCTCATTGACCCCACCCAGAATCAGAAGGTGCTCGTGGATCAAGGAGGTTGTTTGCCTTTAAAGCAAGAGCATAAATTGGTGCAGTATCTCAAGCACTGGCTGGCTGGCTCTAGTTAAGGAAGATGTGGATGAAAGCCCCAGGGAATGGTGTACAGCCCCCCAGTCCTCCAGAGCATGGTACCCAAGCATCCTGCTGTCAGCTGCAGCTACTGACCAAAGAGGCAAAAGAAAGGGCCAAGTACCCACAAGGAGGAGACGAGATGTTTCACTTGTTTAATTTCACAGCTTCCAAAATCTGCCTAAAACTTGGGGTAGAGAACACATGAGAACAAAAACACTGTTTGCATAATTCTTTGGCAGTGAAATGGGTCAGCGGTTCTTGTGGGAGAAGAGGAATGCAGTTTTTAAGATATGAAGAGCATCTCTGTACTTGGCAATAGCTGGACAGTCCTGCTTAATGGAGAGTAACACAGAAGTTTATGATGGGCTTATATGCCTTGTCTTTTGCCCCATGGTCTCTCCTCTGAACACAGCTCTGTAAAATGGAACATTCCTG